CCAGCCAGGTCTCGGTGATACCCGCCAGGTCCGCACCCCCCTCTTGAATAAGATCTTGAATGAGGGGGGCTTTGTTTACCACCGACCTGGCATTGCATAACATCAGCCGGTGATCCCGGGCCTGGGGATCTAAGTTCCCTGGAAACCGAGTAGAGCCCTGAGGACCGGAGCGCCCACACGCTTGTAAACAGCGTGTGCGTGCTCCCCAAACCCGATATGGTCCTCTGCTCCCACCATATCTGCCCCTCCCACTGACCGTACTAATCATCCCACCCTCTCTTGACCCCCCCAACCACCTCCCCCTCCACTCCCACGCCGCGTCCCTCAGACAGGCTCCGCCTTGGCCCCAGAGAGGCATCCCCCATGCCCCCCCGGCCCTCCCCGTACCCCCTAAAAATTTGTTAAAACAACCCACTAAAAAAGTTCTCAGTTTCCTCCTCTTCAGTTCTTTTTTAGTACAAATCTCAAGTTACAACATCAGTACAAATCTCAAGTTACAACATCAGATATTTCCTCTCTTTTTCCTTTATTATCTCATATTAGGCTAATACAGTTCTTATTATTATCAACTAAGTAAAAACACATTACATTTATCAATAATTTTTAGCTTATGCATATCTTAATTGTGTTTACATTCAATCCTTATATACAATCTATGTCCTGTTATTGCTTTTTTCCCAAGCTTTAATTTCCAATCAATATTCAAATTAACATTTGATATTTATAATTTCCAAGTTTTAGGTCACCAAAGTTTTCCTTATCTCAACTTTCTCCTTTTTCCCTTTTCATAACAAAATTTAATATTCTAAGTATACATCTTATCTATTTGAATATAGTCTTGTTCTGTTTTCTAAAAGTTATCTATTTTCCACTATATTAAATCATGTAATTAATAATACAGTATCCTCTCTAATAAATCAAAACCATTATATGTATTGTCTGGGTTAACCAATAAATCAATAGTATACATATTTTTTTTCTTTTAGCCTAAATTTTTAAAATTTCAAATACTCCCTCTCTTTTTCTGGTAAACTCTATTATCTCATATTAGGCAAACAGAATTCTTTTTTTTTTCCAATAAATTTTTTTATTATTTTCATCATAAAGAGAAAACATACAAATATCACACAAATATAATATAGAACCCGCATCCCCCCCCCCCGAGACTTCCCAAACCTAATCCCAGGATAATATTCAAATGTAAGTAAACAATTAATAATATCTCTAACTCCACAAGGTATATAAGTTCTGCATGAATAAAAGAAATATATACATAAAAAAGAACCAGTTAATTAAAAACCTAAATTATATTCCACTATTCTATGCTTCTTTTGTATATAAACAATCCATCTTC